TGAACAAATGGCACAAGTCCTCCAGAATACGTTGCCAAATATGCTTAAAGAAATGTTGGGTGACAGACTTAAGGATAATGAAGGTGGGGAGGAAGGAAGCGTTCGACACGAGAACACTCAAGTCCCTGAAAGGGTGGAAGTGTCTGATAAAGAGAAGGTGGAGTCGCTCATCATCGAGAGAACCGAGTTGACTGTGAAGGAGAGAGGATGCAGTTTTAAAACATTCAAAGGCACCGGGCCGAAGGAATTTAAAGGAATAGAGGGCCCAGTTGGCCTGATGAACTGGGTAGCCAAGACGCAGAGCTGCTTCAAAATTTGTAGATGCGCGGAAGATCAAAAGGTGACTTATGTTGCTACAACCTTTGTGGACTATGCATTGCATTGGTAGGAGTCTAAGTGTGCAATCAGAGGTGATGAGGATATTGCTGCCATGACTTGGGAACAAATGAAAAAGACGATGATGGATAGGTACTGCTCGCAAACGGAGGTGAACAAGCTAGAATCCAAATTCCTGAGATTAAAGCAAGGATCGTTGTCAGTTCAAGAATATGTTAACGAGTATCTTGAAAAAGCGAGGTTCGCCAGTTACCAGGTGGCTACCGAGGAGAGAAAGATAGGTCGTTTCAAGGACGGCCTAAGAATCGAAATCAAACGTTACGTGGATATGACTAAACCGAACACCTTCGTACAAGCAGTGGAGATGACAAAGATGGCAAAGGAGAACAACGCTAGAGAGACTGGTGATAGAAGAGAGGCAAAGAGAAGGTGGGAAGGATTGAGCAAGTTAAACAAGAAATCCAAATGGACTCCAACTCTGGCAAAAACACGAAGTGGAGAATTCACTATCCCTTCATGTAACAAATGCAACAAGAGACATAGGGGAGAGTGAAGAGCGGGGAGCCTGATGTGCTACAAATGTGACAAGCCTGGGCACACCGCACGAGAGTGCCCAGAAGGAAAAACTTGTTACGAATGTGGGGCTACGGGACATATACGACCTGACTGCCCAAAGCGTCGGAATAGTGTAACACCCCACGAGAAGACAGCGAATAACGGATTTGGAAGGAGATCGGAGAATAGGAAGGAGCTACCTAAGGGACGCGGCCGAGTTTACAACATGACCTTGAAGGAGGCCAAGGAAACGCCCGATGTCGTATCCGGTATGTTCCCTATCAACGATGTGTATGCACATGTATTATTTGATTCGGGTACAAATGGTAGTTTTGTGTCTACCACCTTCTGCCACTGTCTGAATAGGAGTGCCTGTAGACTAGACAAAACCTACACTATAGAAACAGCCGACGGTAGTCAGTGTAAGGTAGACGAAGTATTTGATAAATGCACAATCGTTATAGATGGGAAGGATTTCCCCGTTAGGCTTATGCCGATGCGCTTAGGGGGTTTGGACGTGGTCTTAGGGATGGATTGGCTGTCCAACAATCATGCGCAAATAGTATGCAATAAAAATATGATCCAAATTCAAACCCCGAAAGGAGAAGCAATTCATGTTTACGGCGATCGAAAGAAGTGTGGCGGGGGGCTAATCAATGCAGTTAAGGCAAATAGGTGTCTGCGGAAGGGATGTGTGGCTTACTTGGCACACGCCATCGACGCCAAGCTCGAAAAGAAGGCAATACATGATGTTCCAGTGGTAAGGGATTACCCAGAAGTATTTCCGGATGAATAACCGGGAATACCGCCGGAACGTCAGGTAGAGTTCTGAATCGATTTGGTACCAGGTGCAGTACCAATCGCACGGGCGCCTTATCGCTTAGCCCCAACGGAAATGCAAGAACTGATGAAGCAATTGCAAGAACTCTTGGATAAAGGGTTTATCAGGCCAAGCTCGTCGCCATGGGGAGCACCAATCTTATTCGTCAAAAAGAAAGACGGCACAATGAGGATGTGCATCGATTATCGGGAGTTGAACAAAATCACAATAAAGAACAGATATCCATTACCAAGGATCGATGACCTTTTCGATCAGCTGCAAGGAGCCAGCTGCTTCTCAAAAATCGATTTGAGGTCGGGTTATCATCAGCTGAAGGTTCGAGAAGAGGACGTGTCAAAGACCGCTTTTAGGACTCGTTACAGACACTATGAATTTGTAGTAATGCCGTTTGGGTTAACAAACGCACCTGCAGCATTCATGGACTTGATGAATCGAGTTTGTGGACCGTATTTGGATCAATTTGTCATAGTCTTTATAGATGACATTTTGATCTATTCGAAAAGTAAAGAGGAGCATGAACAACACTTAAGGATGATTCTTGAATTACTAGCAAAAGAGCAATTGTACGCCAAGTTCTCAAAATGTGAATTTTGGTTGCATGAGGTGCAATTCCTTGGTCACGTAGTCAACGCGAAAGGAATCAAGGTGGATCCGGCTAAGATTGATGCAGTTATGAACTGGGAATCTCCAAGGTCAGTATCGGAGATCCGAAGTTTTCTAGGCCTAGCGGGGTATTACCGAAGATTCATCCAAGATTTCTCCAAGATAGCAACCCCTTTGACAACACTAACAAAAAAGTCGGTTAGGTTTGATTGGGGTACGAAACAAGAGGAAGCATTTCAGACACTTAAGGAGAGACTAAGCACAGCACCGGTTTTAGCACTACCGGAAGGAGTAGAAGATTTTGTCGTTTACAGCGATGCATCAAAGATGGGTTTAGGTTGTGTACTAATGCAGCGAGGCAAGGTCATTGCATATGCGTCTCGTCAGTTGAAGGAACACGAGAGGAAATACCCAACTCATGACATGGAATTAGCAGCGGTTGTCTTCGCGCT